TTGTCTTGTTTAATAAAAGTAATTATATTGAGAAAAATTAATTTAATGTATTTATTATTATTCAGGTTGATCTGCCTGAACAAGATTTTGATTTTGAATGGGGAGAATTAGACAACATTGAAAAACAACTCAATGACTCAAAATCAAATGATATTCCTATATCTCCCAAAAAATCTCCAGCTAAATCAAATCAAATTACACAAAAAAACTCTCCAGCTAAATATGATACTTTCAGAACACCCTCGGTATCACCAGCTAATAAGAGACATATTCTTGCAACACCCAAATCATCATCTAACTCTTTTTCAACTCCTAATTCATCTCCAAGAAAGACAGTACAATCCACACTAATACCTCAAAACACAAAAAGCCCATCAGCATCACCAGGAAAATTGGGACTTGAAAATAAAACAATTAAGATCGACATTGAATCTCCAAAAAAAAAACTAAATTTTGATGATGAAAATATAATTGGTAAATTAGGTTCTAAAAGAAAAATGTCACCTATTAAAACACCAGAAAACAAAAAAATTAAAATTAGTTCAGTAGATTCTCCTGACACCCAAGTATGTAATATTATTAGATATTTATTTTTATTTTGTATTACATCATTTACTATATTAATTTACATTAATTAACAGGAAAGTGGATATACAACAGAATCATCTCCTTTGCAGTCTGTTAAATCTACTATCCCTACAGACAATATTGAATCAAAACTTTGGGTGGAAAAGTATAAACCATTAACGTTAAAACAAATTATAGGTCAAACAGGCGAAAAAAGTAATGTTAATAAACTGGTAAATTGGTTAAAATCCTGGTATTCAAACCATGGAGTAGGAGTCAATAAAAAACTAACTAGACCAAGTAAGTTTGATAACAAATATTATAATTATTAGTTTTTTAAGAAAAATGTAAGGCAACAAAATGTATCAATGTGTTTTGATAGGTCCTTGGGCAAAAGATGATAATGGAGCTTTTTTCAAAGCTGCTCTACTTTCTGGTTCTCCTGGTGTAGGTAAGTATTTGTAATAAAATATAGGATTTAATTGCACAATATAATAAATAATTTGGTTTTAGGAAAAACGACTACAGCACATTTAGTTTGTAAAGAGTTGGGTTTTGATATTGTAGAATTTAATGCTTCTGATACAAGATCCAAGAAACAATTACAAAATAATGTATCTGAACTTTTATCTTCAACTTCTTTGAGTCCCTTTTTGGGTGGAAAATCTGTGACTAAAAAGCATGCACTATTGATGGATGAAGTTGACGGTATGGCAGGAAATGAAGATCGAGGTGGTGTACAAGAGTTAATTATTTTAATTAAAAATGCTAAATGCCCAGTTATATGTATGTGTAATGATCGGAACCATCCAAAAATACGTACATTGTCTAACTATTGTTTTGATCTACGATTTCATAAACCAAAATTGGAACAGATTAAAGTATGAGTACTTCTGAATTGTAATATCTAAGTTTTTTGTACTTATAGTATATCATTTTAGGCTGCTATGATGAGTATATGTTACAAAGAAAAATTAAAAATTTCTCCAGACACTTTATCTTCAATTATTGCTAGTACAGATAATGATATTAGATTAACACTCAATCATTTGTCAGTTGTCGCTGCTGGAAAAGACAATTTAAACATAAACAAAAAATATATTAAAATGGTAATGTATTATTGATATCACTTTTCAATTACTCATATTTTTGTATAATAATTTTATTCTAGGGTCCATGGGATGTTGTGCGAAAAGTTTTTTCTGCTGAAGAACATAAATCAATGAACATTACTGATAAATGTGACCTTTTCTTTTATGATTATAACATTTCTCCATTATTTGTTCAAGAAAACTATTTAGCTGCTGTTCCTCATGATGTCGAGTAAATTTGTTTTTAAATAAACATTTTCTTTATTTAATTTGTTTTAATTTTTTAGAGGTTCTAAATGGAAAACATTTGAACGTTATTCATTAGCGGCAGACAGTATACGAATAGGAGACATAGTTAGTGCAAAAATTAGATCTACCAATAACTGGAGCTTACTCCCTGCACAAGTAATTATATATCACTAGTTTTACTCATTTAACAGATACAAATATAAAGATTTAATTAAAAAACACTATTTTATTCTTGTAAAAATAGTATAACTATAAAAAATGTTTTTAAGTGTTTGTTAAAATTGGCATGTAACGAATCGAATATAAAATTATATTATGAAAATGCTTTTAAATAAAATTTCTTAAGTGAATGCTTTTAAAATAATTAAATCTAATAAGTATTTATATTTTGGATTAGGCTATATTTTCTAGTTATTGCCCTGGAGAATTTCTAAGAGGTCATGTGAGTAAACAAATTAACTTCCCTGCTTGGCTAGGGAAATTTTCCAAGGGAAATAAAATGAATAGACTCTTACAAGAATTACAAATTCATACGAGAATAAGGTATGTGACTGGGTATTTATTAAACTATAATTTGTTATAAAGAAATATACTTAACTATTAAATAAATAATTTAGATTATCTGCAAGTAAGGAAGCAATAAATCTTGATTACTTAACCACTCTAAGAAATAAGATTCTCAGACCTCTTATTGATGAAGGCAGTGACGGTGTCCATAAATCTTTAGATTTTATGAATCATTATCATCTGGTTAAAGATGACGTGGAATCCCTTAATGAACTATCTTCGTGGCCTGGTCATAAAGATCTAATGTCCGACATCCCAGCTAAAGTGAAAAGTGCATTTACTAGAGCATATAATAAAAGTGCACCAACATTCAATGTAACAAAAAAGAATAAAAAAGCTGTAGATGATGTTGAAGGTTTGGTAGATGAACATGAGATAGATGATAATATTAGTGATGAAGATGAAGAAGATATTGCAAATGATGCCCTGATTTCAATTGTGCGTATATACAAATAATATTTATATATTTAAAATATTTGTGATAATCATTATTTAAACTACTCTATGTCTAGGTGAAGAAAAAAGCCAGTAAAAAAGCAGCATCGCCAGCTCCTGATAAGAAAATCAAAAATAGTGGTGGTAGTAGTAGGGGTAAAAAGAAGAAGTAGTTTATTTTTTTATTATTGCAAAAATTGTTTTTCTATTTGCTTAAACATTATTATAATAACAGTCGAGCATTAGAAATAAAATATAATTTCTTTTATAATATTTTTTTTTTAAACCGCATTACATTTACTATGTTTGTCTTATAAGGTTAAGTTATTATTACAGTTTATTATTTTACTATTATTTTTAGAAATGTTAGAATTATTCATCGTAATTTATTTTATTTTTACTTATTATGGCATGTGTTGTTGATACAATTATTATTGCTGAATAGTGAATACTATTACTTTATTCTGATGTTTTTCAATATCAATTATAAATAACAGTCTATTTTCTTTGAGAGGATAATTTTACATTTCAAACTGATCGATATCAAATAATATATTTTATATATTATATTTTTAAAAAAATGTTTAAGTTTTTACTTTTTTGAATAACAGCATTATAGAGTTTTAATTTAATTTTCCAAAGCAGAATATTTTTCTAAGTATTTTGATACATATAAATCGAATTTAGAGTGAGTAGTTTATGAGTTATAATTATTTAAAGTTTAGTTGGGCGGAATGGAGTGGTATGGGGTTACCCCACAAAATGTTTTTCCACTACTCTGCTTGTCAAAACTTTAAATACTTATAACTCATAAACTACTTGCCCTAAATTCGATTTATATGTATCAAAATACTTAGAAAAATATTCTGCTTTGGAAAATGAAATTAAAACTCTATGCTGTCATTCAAGAAAGTAAAAACTTAAAAAATTATAAGGATAAAAATATTTAAAAATATAATTTATTAATAAAAATGTTGTTTATTTAACAACTCGAAACCTTGTAAAAAAATATTTTCAAAATCATTAATACTTTTTGAGATAATGACTGTTGTACACTTAGTGAATCATCCTGTATATATCAACTTATGTATTACACAATGGAATTTTCAAATGTACCTAATATTTTTGGCAAAATTGAAATTAACCTACCGTTGTACGAACGCCTAATAGTAAAATAAATTGCTTTAATAACAATGATATATTGATATCATCAAATGACAAAATATATACTTGGTAATATTATAGGCTGTCATATATTATTCCCTGAGAATCTTTAATCGTTTAAAATGATTTAATATCATTGAATTCAAATTTAACAACATCCATTACAGTGACCCATTTGTAACCTACTGTACAGCAGAGCAACTTCCATTTGCCCGTTTTTTTATTTATTTAGATTATATGAACAATGAACATGTTTAGTTTGTACAGATTGTTTTTTTTTTCTGAAAATTGCAATAATGATTAAATAATATAAATATTATGTACAACAACCAACTTCATAATATAATATGTATTATGTTTAAAAAAATAAGTAAATAGGTACATAAATATTTACTAATCAAAAATATTTAAAATGTTACTATTATGTATATATAGGGGATTAAATCTGTAGTAGTGTGGTGTATGGTATATAATTGTCTTAAGTCAAAAATTGACATTTATTAAATTAATTATTAGCCCAGACGTTATTGCCAAAGATTTTGAATGATTTTTAGGTCCGTGAAATAATGATGTCAGTCATCAGAAATCAGAATTCTAATGTACGGTACAGGCTATTAATCTAAGACCACAGAATAGATTCTATTCTGTGCTAAGACCGTACCGGCGGTACCTCTCCCGCGATTTCGACGGGTAGCCGATGGGCAGTTTTAGCCTGCCAACGCCATCTTTTGATATTTTTTAATTTTACCAGAACCGTTCTGGCAGTCGGCAGAACGGCCTCGTGGTAATGTTTTGAAATATTTAAAATACTGTTATCAAAACTTCACTGTCTTATCTTAGTCCGTGATTTGAGTGTTTCGACCGCGATTAAAAACGTCTTTTGACGGAAATTCGTTAATTAAATATTTTATTTTATTATCCAACAAAATGAATTCCGCGTTGGACGTGAGAATAGCCACTGTGTTAAAACAATTATTTGATGAAGGTGCTCTAATTTCAAGAATGTGCTGTAAAGTAAGGAAAAAATTTCGAGGAGAGAAACTTTTTAGACGCCTCAGACAAGTAATTATCGGTTGTCTCAAAAACATTAACTAGATAATATGAAGTTAATTATTATTCAATGTATTTTGTATTAATTTAGATTACTGTTTCAATAAAGAAACTCCATCAACTAAACATCTCCGAGGCTATATTTATTAAACAAGCTTGTCAGTGGGATGGTACTCGTATTTTACCAGCTTTAAGTATAATCAATCGACTACAGCAGTTCAGTGAAGCTACAGCTCAACTGATAGTGAAAGTGTTCCAGAATGGTCAATGTTGGTTAGAAATGAATATTGCCCTTGCTATGGTTAGCAGAGTGTGGATACTTACCAAGTCGTTGAACAAATCATTTTCACGGTCCTGTCAAAATTGTACACCTCTACTGAATCAATCAAAAATGTCTGAAACCCAATGGCTACCAAATTTTAAACTACCTGAATGTTTAAATAATAATATATTAGAAAATAGTCAAAGGTAAATAAATAAATACTAAATCACTAAACCTAACTTAAAATGGGTTATACAACTAATAATAAATCATTTTATTTTAGTGAGTCAATTGAGGAACTTGTAGAAAGACCAGGTTCTGTTATGCGTCGTAAACCAGAACCAGAAGACCCAGTTATAAAAAAAAGAAAAAGACCCGGAAAACAAATTAGAATGTTACTAGAAAAACATAAAAATAAAATTTAAGTTGTTAAAAAACAAAAAACTAAATAATTATATTATACATTATTTTTTTATATACATATTTTTTGTAAATGGAGTAAAACTAAAGATATACAATTTTAATACATTTTGTGAACGTTCATTTTTATTTTGATAACATAACTACCAGTGGTCAATTTAAGGATTCAAATAAAGTCAGGCAATCCATAATAGACGGGTCTCGTACAAAATTTATCAATAACATACTAAGGCAAAAAATAGTTGTTTTTTTATTAAGTAAACCAGCAGTTGGCGCCTAGCACTATTAGAAACCCACTTTACCGCCCGCTAGACATAAAAAGGACGCTTTCCAGCGCTTCAACCGCTATTGAAAACCAAACTTTCGGTGTAGGCGTGACAAAAAACAAATTATGATATGTGTAGTTTCAAATACACTAGTTACAGATACCTATAGTTGAAATATAATTAAATAATACTGATTGAATGAAAAATGATTTGCAAAGTATTTTAGTATTGCACGATGGGGATTAAAATTTGATCTCAGATCACCCAGTTAGCATTTTATCTGTGGCAATAAATATTTATTCTAAGACTATAATAAGTAAATTTAAAAGAATATGAAATCAAACTTAAGTATGTATTGACTCTTCTGGTTGAATATAGGTGAGCTATATATCTAGATTGCAGTGCACAGACACCAAAGGGACAGCTTTCTTCGTAGCGTTTAGAACTGGAAGTATTGAGATATTTTTAAAAAAAATACCATTTGACGATCTATCCTTTTTTTTTTGTTCATCGAAATTATTAGAATCATTAATCGTCTCAGACAGTGGCTTCCGCAGGGGGGGGGAACAGGCTGAAGCCCCTCCCCCCCCATTGCCATATTATTATTACTTAAAAAAAAAAATTTTAATATTCATCAAGTTTCAACTATAGTCTATAGTAAGCACTAAGCAAGACGCAAATTTCATATATGTCTTACCAGAATGAATTCATTTTTTAAAAAACATTGTATTTGCATACCAATTTTCATAAATTATCTGTAATTTTTCGGTAAAAGTATGAACTACTTGTATAAATTTAACACACTGATATGTCTAAAGCATTCGATAGCATAAACCATGAAATATTATTTATGAAATTAAAACTGTTTGGGTTCTCTGACCCTCTGCTTTCATGGTTTCAATCTTTTCTCTCAAACCGTAATATCGTTGTTAAACATTTGAACTTTGAATCAGATCAATTTAGTGTTCCATCCGGGGTCCCACAAGGTGATCACCTCTCTACTCTACTTTTTAATATTTTTATTAACGACATTCCGGATGTCGTAAAAAATTCTCGTGTTTTTCTTTTTGCAGATGACCTTAAACTGGTAAAAATAATAAATAATCAAGGTGATGCGCATGATTTACAAAACGATATTGATAAGATTCAATCCTGGTGCTCAACTAATCGTCTGTTATTAAACATTGACAAATGCAAATTTATGCGCTTTAGCCTAAGCACAAATGTCATCAATTATAATTATCATATTTCCGGGACTGATATTGAATTATTAACAAACTTTAAAGACCTAGGTGTCATTTTCGACTCTAAACTAAATTTTTCAGCCCATATTGAAATGATAAAAAATAAGGCAATGCGCAACCTCGGTTTTATCAAAAGAACTTGTGGATCATTCAGTGATCCACTATCTTTAAAAGTTTTATTCTGTGCCCTTGTTCGCTCAAACCTAGAATATTGTCCATTAATTTGGACTAATAACACTTCTAAACAGATCGATGCGATCGAATCAGTTCAAAATAACTTCCTCCGTTTCATCTCCTTCAAATTTAATATTTATAGGCCACCTCACGGTTCCTATGATTCAGTTTTATCATTTATAAATCTCCTTCCACTTAAAACTAGACGCACTTTATTACTATCCAAATTTTTACACAATTTACTTTTAGGGAATATCGATTGTGATGAGCTCCTTTCCCTCATCCGTTTTAAAGTAAATCACCGTAACACAAGATGCAATGATTTATTCTATCCCGTCCCTTATAAAACAAATTATATGATAAACTGTCCTTCTAACATCCTCATGGCTGCGGGTAATTCCATTACCTTTGATTTTGTTTGATTTTGTTTAGCATGTCTCGACTTATATCTTTCTTTGTTGTTATTTAACTTTTTCATTCTCTTGTATATATTTGTAACTTATATAACTGTATTATGTAGCTTATATTATTATTTGTCATTACTATTATTATTTGTCATTACTATTATCATTGTGTTATTATTACCGTGTATACACACAAAATATTGTTAAGGACTTAAGTCCGTTTATATTTAAAAAAAAAAAAAAAAAAAAAAAAAAAAAAAAAAGACCTTGTATTAAATAATTATCTAGCCTTAGCTATACATGGCTATACACATTTAATATTTTATAAGTTTTGAACTACAAATTAATTGTAGTTTTGACGAAATCTGAACTTTAAATGCTTATAAAAAATAACCACTAAGCCTATGTGTCGTTAATATTTTTGCTATAATATAAACTTACGTAATGCATTTTTAAGCTTTTTGAACGGATAAATAATTTATCAAATACAATCCAAGTGAGGAACGTACAACCAAGCTGGTTACCAAACAATTTTAATAAATTTTCATTTTTTTTTCTCCAATTATTTTGAAAATCACTTCATTTCTACCAGAAATGTTGAAAAGTTGCAAACATTTTAATAAAACATTAAAATACCTCAAGTAAACGTCTGAACTCTGAAATCGTTAGACTGCATGGACTCCATGGCCAAATAAAAAATATTAATTCCCCCCCCCCCTCCAAATGAAAAATCCTACGTACGCCACTGGTCTCAGACGAATGGTGACGATCGGCGTTTACGAATGGATTTTCGCAGGAAAAAATTTTTTGTGTCCGTATATAATATTGCCTACATTTAGCCCCTTTTTTGCAGTTATCAAAATGTGATAACATTGATAAACCGATAACATAATTTTCATTATAAATATAATATTATATTTTATTAGGTATATTAATTATAATTAAAATAGTTAAATACATTAATAGTTAATAAGTTATTAAAAAACACAATATAGTAATTTAAAATTTAAAAATACACAATTCATTGAGAATACAGTATAAATGTACAACATATTTAGGTGGAACATTATTTTAAATTTTCAATCTTTAGCTATAAAAGGTAAATTATATAATACAATTTTAAATTTGATAAATATTTTCAAAATTCGAACTAATACCCAGATAGCAATTGTGAAATGATATTATTATTATTACAGTACACAAATATTGTTATAAAAATAATGTTATTATAATAACATAACTATCCAACTAACATAATATTTTTACATTATAAATTATAATTAAAATAAATAAATATATTAATAGTTAATAAATTTAATAATACACAATTCAAAAAAAACACAATATTCATTATTCACTTACGATCGTCATTTAAAAGATACAATTCAACAATATATTAAGAAATTCATTTTCTTTTAGCACTATAAGAATGATCGTCATATGAATGAACATTTAAAACACTTGTATTATTCAGTAAGGATTTTCTTATTATATTACCTTCACTCGACGACAATTGATGAAATTCAAGTTTATTTTTTTTATTTTTAGTAAAGAAACGTGGTTGTTTTTCAATATTCTTTTTATGTTGATTGTATTTATATCTTCTGTTTGCATAGGTTTTGATTCGTTTGTAAGTAATTCAATAATTTTATTGCGATGTTTTAAAATATGTTTTTTTGTGTACTGTAATAATAATAATATCATTACACAACAGGGGCGCACCCAGGATTTTTTTTAGGGGAGGGCTAAATTCACATAATTTTAATATTAATAAATAATAGGTAGTATTTTTTTTTGAAATATGTACAAAAATCTTTAAGCTTTTTTACAATCTTTTACTAACAAATTTTTTTTATTTTTGTCCCGGTTTTAAGTGTCGCAGGGGGACAGTCCAGGGGCGGAGTGGGAACCAAATCCAGGCCGGGAGTTTAAAATTTATCCAGGCCACCCACCAAATTTCTCGCCATTAGCATAAAAGACTCAAGATAATCATTGGTCATTGAATTTCTCAGCCCGTTTTTTAATTAATACTTCAATGTTTAAAATGGGTGTTTTATTATAAAAATAACCGACCTATGTCAATATTAGGTATATTGCTTTGATTTTATTTGATGTCTATATTTATGTACCAAATATTTTGTAATTTTATATCCAAAACTTTCTCATAAGAGTATACGGTTGTACGAGGCTATCACAATGTACTATTATTGCATTAATAATATTTGGAGTACAATAATTTAATAGAAACAAATTTACGACGCATTTAGCATTAAGGCGGCTCTTAGTGGCTATTATTTAAGGGGAACAATTTAGGCAATTTCTAATCTTGTCGTAGCCGCCCGTAATCTATGTGTTAGTCGTAAATGATTATTAGTGTGAAATTCGAAGAAATTCGAACTCGATAACAATAGATTTTATATCGCCCGGCTGCGGGCACACGGTTCAATAGCACACGTAAGCGCATGCACAAGTCAACGTAATCACTCTCGAAAAATATTTTTGTACACTCACAACAGTGAAAAATGCTAATAAGCTGGCGAAAAATACACATACTTCTAGTAGTCCAATTTCAATTTTGAAAAATTATTTGAATTTGTCAGCCTCTTTTTTATGATTTGTAGGAAACCGATTTTGGATATTTTAGATAATTTACGTATATTACGGTTCCAAATGACTGCTTGATTTCTCAAATTTAACTTGCACTTTTAAGTGCTAACTAGACAAAAAGATGAAAAAGTTTTTCCTACAGATCATAGAAAAGAGGCTAACGAATCCAAATAAGTATTCAAAATTGAAATTAGACTACTAGAAGTATGTGTATTTTTCGCCAGCTTATTGGTCTAAATGCATGAAAAATCCAATCGTTTAGAGCCGCCTTAACTAATATTTTGTAAATTAAATTAAATTAAAAAAAAATCTAACAAAATGGCCAGGCCATCTGGAAAATTCCCATTTCCAGACCGGCCACTCCGCCCCTGCCGTAGTCTATAATAATAGACAACAGAGGTCTCTCCCGGGGCCCGGAATGACAGGAATAAATTTAATAAAATTATAAAATCAATGATATAATATAATATTATGTTACACCTAATGTTTCAATTTCGATAGGTATTTGATAATTTTTTTTTATAACAATTTAAAGTAAAATGTAAATTTGTCAATAAACCTAATAAAATTATCAAAATGTTTAGCCATTTGGGGGGTGCTAAAGCTCGTTAGCCACCCCCTTGGGTGCGCCCTTGTTACACAATTGCACAATTTTATTATATAATTTAACTTTTATAGCTAAAGATTGAAAATTTAAAATAATGTTCCACCTAAATATGTTGTACATTTATACTGTATTCTCAATGAATTGTGTATTTTTAAATTTTAAATTACGATATTGTGTTTTTTAATAACTTATTAACTATTAATGTATTTAACTATTTTAATTATAATTAATATAATAAAATATAATATTATAATTTATAATGAAAAATGAAAATTATGTTATCGGTTTATCAATGTTGTCACATTTTGATAACTGCAAAAAAGGGGCTAAATGTAGGCAATATTATATACGGACACAAAAAATTTTTTCCTGCGAAGATCCATTCGTCGGCGTTTGCCATGGCCCATGGATGTTATAGATATATTATGATATGATAAACCCATAGGTATACGATATGCCTTATGAGGTCTACGGAAAAATTATAATAATATATGTTCTTTTATTTATCTCTTTGTGAACCTATTTTAAAATCTGCAACATTTCATCCATGTATGTAGATAAGTACGAATCGGGAATTATACTATATTGAAATATACAATTGTTAAATATTTAATACTTATACCTAGAGTGTTGCAGAGTGTATAGACTATGCTAAAAACCTTTGTAAATACTAATGATTAAAATTTAAAATGAGGTGTATCTATATAAAAATATAAAATATAAACATAAATAATATTATATCTACTTATACCTACTTCACAGCTCACGCGAACATTAAGTGTTGCCCGGCGTATAGTATAGGCAAAATAAGTACATTACTGCAGTGTTTATAATTGCAAATAATTATCTATTATCTAAAATGTTCCTACCTATAACCTATTTTGGTTTTCTATTTCAGTTGATGTTCTCAATCATTCCAAATTTAACCATAGAAACTAGTCCACAGGTTTATAGACATTCTAATAATGCATTCTCCTGCCAGTGCCCCTAGAGCCTAGACGAAGTGTTGGAGAAGTTATGTTTCTTTGGTAAATAAATTACAATATGAATTAGAAGTTACCTATGTAGGTACTCGTCCAAGACTCGAATACCGGAAAATCAATTCAAAACTATGATTTAGGCCACTTTTTGGCTATATAGTTCTATTTTAAAATAGAAACTTAACCTACCAATAATATTACTATATAAAATAATTTGACGTGATAAATTGAAGAAAATTTTCTAATTAACACCCGAAAACCCCTAAAAAAAAAGTGTGTTTGAGGTTTTTTTCTTAAAATGGATCCAAATTTCCTTTGGCTGTTTATAAATTATTAAAAATATTTTTATAAACCAAATAACGTCATCCTCGATACCCAGCATTCCAGCGACGAATATGAGTGGAAACTGGAAATCTGTACGAGTTCCTACACCGAATCCGACAAATACCGTAAACGGATAATAGACCTAATGTAGTCACTGCAGGTTACCAAAGCCTCTGAGCCGATATCTAAAAAATGTAAAAGGCGATAGGACACGTGGAAAACCTTAGACCGGGGGTCGGCCATTGGTTCCAATCCAGCCAAATCCAGCCCGTGGAGGGGAAATGACTGGACCGCCAGGAATATTTTTTATAATACTAGTTTTCAGCAGAGAAAAGATATTTGATCTATTAGATTCTGAGTGAAACGATATATGTATTGATTTTACAATGATGTGTGTTTTTTTTTTTATTTTATTTTTATTTTTTATTTTATTTTTTTTTATTTTTGTGTCTGTCATCACGTTTTAGGACAGTAAAAGTGCTTGGATTTTCTTCATCAGTAGCTTTTCTGATAGGAAAGTGAATCTAGTTGGTACTTTGGGGGGTCAAAAGTATAAATTTCCCAGTAGTTTTCACAAGCGCCGGGAAAAACAACATAAAAATTAAGGAAAAACGGGAATTTTTACGCAAAATTGGTTTTCCAAAAAATCGATTTTGGTTATTGGTGTAACTCTAAAACAAATGAACGTATATACATGAAATTTTCACTGGTTGTTTTTAATTGCATTTTCTATACACGATAACATTTTCAAAATATTTTGATTTATTTTGAACTGTTTAGGGACATTTTCATTTTCCATTTTTTTTTAGTTTTTTTTCTAAAAATATCAATAAAATTTTATTTGTTGGTTGCGAAAGCTTGAAAATTTAATAGAAGGCTCCTAATATGTTGTTTCAAAGGCAGATGAAAAATATTAAAAATCCTTAGTCACACTTTTTTTTTATAAGCATTTAAAGTTCAAAAATTGACAAAATATGGAAAAATCACGAAAATTAGCAAATTATTTTGAGTTAAGAATTCGTAAAAATTTTTCTTTTTAAATCTAAGATTTGAAAATGAAACACAAGATTCCTTATAAGATTATCTACCTTTATCAATAAAAAAATCTCTACCGGACAGTCAAGTTAAATTTTTATGAGCGTTTGAAATTCAAATTTTTACAATATTGGATATTCACTCGATTACTCATGTAGCGATTTCTTTATTTTGTTGCAATTCAAAAACGAACACCTGCAGATTCATGAAAATTTCACTGAATGTTTAAAATAGCATTTTCTATACACCATACAATTTTGAAAATATTTTGACTCTTTTTGAGCTGTTTATGGACATTTACAGCTTTCAATTTTTTTAGTTTTTTTTTCTATAAATATCAATAAAGTTTTATCTGTTGGGCCAAAAAGTGTAAAAATTTAATACAAGGCTCCTGATATATTGTTACAATATCAGTTGAAAAATATTAAAAATACATAGGCACGATTTTTTTTTATAAGCATTTAAAGTTGGAATTTTGACAAAATTTATCAAAATCTCGAAAATTATCAATCGTTGGAATTAAAAAATTATAAAATGTTCAGTTTTTATAACTAAGAGTTGAAAATTTAAAACAAAGATTCTCTTAAATAATTCATACTGTAACCAAAAAATCTAAAAAATATATAAACACACTTATTTTTTACAGATATTTTAATTTCAAATTTAGACAAAATTTCATATTTTAACCAAGAATTACGATTTTAGTTATTTTGTTGTGATTGAATAATATTATTCGTGGGTACTTGAAACTTCTAAAGTGTACTATTATATATCTATGATAGTATCACGGTTTTTGTTGATGTATAACGCGTTATATGTATCTAATGGATATTGTGATATGATTAGTTTGGAATTTATTATAGGTACCTATTATAGGTCAATTTTTTGTTTAATACCATAGATATGTATATAATATGTCTTATACATAGACTGACATACCGTCACCGCTCAGAATCGTTTTTCTTATACAATGATATTATATCATTGAATTCAAATTTAATACCATCCATTATACAGTGACCCACTTGTAACCTACTGTACAGCAGAGCGACACCCACTTGCCCACCTTTTTTTATGTTGTATTTGGATGTATTTTGGCTCCACATACATTGTGAAACTTCAAACTTTCAAAATTACGTTTTGAAAGAATAAATATCGTTGAAGCTTAGATTAACTGATCTCCACCTTGAAAATACTGCGCATTAGTTGTTCTCCAAGTGTATCAAATTTTAAAAAGCTGGCTATTATTATATTATAATAAATAACTTGCTTTGAATACCTCAAACTGTATTGTTAACACACGAATGAACTCATTATATTAACTAATATTTAAGTTTTTTCTGGCCCTCGAAAATTTTTTAAAAACTATCTGGACCGCCATAAAATTTAATTGATGACCCCTGCTTTACATTATATAATATTATGCTTGTATAATAATTGAAACCCGTAACTCTTTGGGGTTGGTTGTCATGGATATATGGGTTTTGCTAGTTTGTTGCCTACATAATATTTAATGTAAAAATCAAAAGACGATTAGGTGTAATGAACAATAATCGTTTTTACTTATTTTTGATCACTCGTAGTGATATACAAACAATTTTACATGATGTGCACAACAAACTCTAAGAATAATAATTATGCGACGTCTTACGGAGAGGGTCATAAATTTATACCTAACATACCGTTCGAAAGCAATGTAAGAGCAAGTGAATACTAAATTTTATAATATTTCACCAAATATGGATAAATTCCTAAGGTCGGATAAATTGCCTGTACAGTCGAATTATGAAATCAACTTTTAATTTATTATAATTAAGTTTGGTCGCTGTATACAACATTATTATAACTAACCTGAGCATAATATTTTAAGAGGATAAACAAATCATTTTGTTTTTCCCCAATAGGTTTCGTCATTGGACACTGGAATTGGATCGATGCCCAATATTCCAGAGTTAAAGCAATGGAATTATGACACGTCGACTAAGGTCCATCATGATTTTAAAATTAATACCATGGACCCTATCCAGAGATCTATGAAATTAAATGTTGACCAAACTCACTATATCATGCCTCAGATGGAAAAAGTACGAAACATAAAAATACATCAATTATTTTTAATGTTTGAAAATAATATACAATAATTGTTATCGTAGTATTGGTCGAATCCTCCAAAACCAATTTTCATACCACCAACTGAGTACAGTGATAAATATATACAACCAAAATTGATGTCAAACATCAAACAGATGCCTACAACAATGATTTGTGTAAGACCCATAATTAAATAATTTATTAAGAAATTAATAGGTGTCTTGCATAAATATTCATTAAAAATTATCCATAGTAAGGTAACATAGAGTTACCACACTATGGTCTATTATTTCCATAGTAAGGTTACATCAATTCCATGATTAAACATGATTTAATTACCTATGGTAAGTCCATTAAACTCGAAATTAGAATTTAGTTGTTATTGCAAAATAGGTTCAACCAACTCCGGTTTCTCGTAAACATTTTGACACAATACAAACGCTGAAAGTTAGTGATGCTGGAGCAATCAAAAAAGTAGACCCGTATGTTAGTACTCAGAAGTTAGATTACATCGAAATAAATCCAGTAAGTCCCATATTGTATATTTTATTGAGAGTTGAAATCAACAGATTATTGAAAAATAATATTATAATAATATACATTGGTTTGATTTACATTTATACATTTAATAAAATACATTAGGATATAGCAAAACAAATAAATTCTAAATATTCAAAATTACAACACAGTAAGCCGGAGTACAAGTCGTTTTACAATGAACCAATATTCAATCGACAAAATACCATCCGTTTGTTGCCAAACACTTTAAAACATGTTCCACACAAGTAAATTAAATTTGCAAATTGTATTTGAAATAAAATTTAATAGGTAAATTACATTTTATTTTTTCAGTTGCCTCATATCAGAAATGAGAGCTTCATATAAAAAACCATTTCATACATCAATATTTGTTGATACTGTAGAAATGCCAATATCCATTTCAAGGAATCCAACTTTGTCTCAAATATTGTCTGTACCTGGGATGTACACAACTGAATACTCAACAATTGGTGGAAAATAATAATACACAAATTTATTATACAATAGTAAATAGCTAAACAGTTATAAAAATATAATTTTACAATAATTTCAATCTAAATATTGTTTTAATATTTGTTGTAGTAGGGTCATATCATAGTAATCGGCAATTGCTTTAAATGTCTTTAGATATGACATCATATCATTTCTGGGTATTACTGTTGTGTAATTACCAGCACATGAACAATAAGCATTTAGATTTTCCATTTTTATCTGTAAAACAATAGCTTTATTACAACGATTCACTTCAAAATTTGTAATATTTATTATATACATACTTCTGAGCATTTTGTACATTGCAGATCTTGTAGAGTATAGGCCATTACTTTTCTACCAAGTGCATCAATCAAAAAATGTTCAATCAGCATATTATCATAACTACTATTGCAATTGGGACATAGCCATGTTTTTCTGAAAATATCATTTAAGTACATGTATTATTTTTTATAACATTTGATTTGATATTATTGGTTTTAACTTTTCTTTCTGAACAGTAAACATACTTTCCATTAAGCACACTTCGATGAGAATCTTTACACAAATCTATGTCTCGACAATGGTTACAACTTTTACAGATTACTTCAGGTAATGTCCAAGAAAGACATGGGTCTGCCCAATCAGCTTCATCACTAAAATTACCAACAGAGATTAAGCGTAATAGATTTTTTTTTAGCTTCATAATATCTTCTTCAATTCCAAAATCCAGTGAAAGTACCTAAAATATATTTGACACACAAATTAAATTAAACCAAATACTTCTCGGAGAAAATAACTCACTTTGCAAACAGTTTTCACAAATTGCAGAGCTGGATTTAAATGTTTTCCTTTATTTTGCAAGAATGGTGAAAGCGTTTCTTGGAGCTCTACATCCAACACTGGATATTTTTTATACATTTTTTGTGTTATCCTATTTAGAACATTATATTTTAATTATTGCTGAATTAAATAAGGTAATATAATTTTATAAATGCTTTTAGTTTACGAGAATAATCTTGTTGTAAGTTCATCTGAAATTACAGTTTTTGCATATTCTGCAATACTTTCACATGATGCAACGCCTAACATGTTACTTTGGGTGACTTGTGATAATGATTCTGAAATACGGTTCAGAGTCACAGAATCAATTGACCGCATGTGTTTATAAATTGCACTCATGTAAACAGCAATTGTTTCTTCAAAATGTTTACGAGCATGACAAACATTGGGTAAAAATTCAGATATATTCCAATTCATTTCAATTCCAACCTAAAAATAGAATGTATGATATTGAATATGTAAACATTATTTTTATTTTTCAGTAAAATTCAACATTACTTCTTCAATATCAGGTCCAGGTGCTTTGTGTTCTTTGAGAAGATGTTCAACGTCTTCATTAGACATATCAATTATATCACCCATCGCTTCTTTTAATTTATCAGAAAACTTAGCTTTTACTCCAGAATAATTCCACTGTTTAAAATTTTAAAAGGAATTATTAGATGTTAACGGTATTATTAACAATGGTTATAAAAATTAGTTTTACCAAATCTAGCCACATCAAATATTCCCAACATGGTCCTAAAGATATTTGTAAGCTGTGGAACAATTCTTTGTTGGTAATGTTTTGTACAACATAGCGCACATAAAAAATTGCATCTTCGAGTGATTTTTTTTTGGTACATATTACTATTTTATTAAAATTGGCAAATATTATAGTAGAACCAAGCCGTTTGAATTCTGCAATTAACTATGTAAGAAAATGGTAGGTATTAGTCATATTCATATTATGTTATTATTTAATACAAATATATTAATTTATAGTATTTTATATCAATACAGTACTCACTTGCATAAAAAGTTTTCTCATCAAACTATAAAGTGTCTTGCGTAAAGCAGGATCATACAATAATGCATTTGGTGATCTTAGCCACCTAAAAAATAATTAAAAAATTATGATTCAATTATATAAAAGCTAAAGTATTTGTTTAATGACTGATATAGTGGTTTGGTACATTAAATTATATTGACATTACCTATAAAAATGTACCATTTGAAAATCGGCAAATGGATTTTTGTGCAGCACAACATCACGAAACCAAACATTTACCATTGATCGTAAAACACGAAATGCAGCTGAACACAATGCTATTTCATCGTAGGTTGGCGTTACAAATGTTCCACCGTCCATAATTTCTTCAAGAGAAGCTTGAGGTATTTGATCAAATGCAACACCAGCACTTGTGCCTAAAATATGTATTGATAGAAGATATTCAATTGAATATGAAAATGATAGTTAATGATTTTAAATAAATAAATCATCTGTGTACTAGAGTAGATGTTTCCTTCGTGAATCAAATAGAGTGCAAATTATGTGTTGTTTAAATATTATATACCTTCAAAATCATGAATATGATGTGACTGTAATAATGTTGTTACAGGTAATGCATCAATTTCAAGTTCTATACAATATGAAGTATAACAGCCTTCATTATTGACGAGCATACTTGAACTTTCTTCTGAGTCCATTAACATTCTATTAAAAAAAATAATGATAATTGGTAACAAATATGGGCAATAAGAATAAATTAACTGTTACAATATCATAGGTACTTATATAAATATGGATGATTACCTATTGTCGTCTGATTCACGACCGCCTAAATCGGGTTTATCAGTTTCTGAAATCCATAACACAAAGTTGTGTTTCATCAAATGTCTAGCAAAGAAAATATCTGATGCAAACAATGTTACATCCGCAGGTAAATTTCCAAGAGGTATTTGTAGGTATCTGCATTGCTCCAACATAATATTTATATTTTCTGGACTATTTAGATAGTGGTTAACAATCAAGCTGCACCCTAAACGTTGCCATTCCATTTGAGAGTACATAGAGGCAGTAGAGTCTTGTACATGAAGGGTTACCACTGGGAATTCAGTCATTATTGGAATATTGGACAGCAATACTTGACTGTCTACATTTAAATACACGATTAATGATTAAGAAATAACATATTTCATTGATTTTTTTATTACCTATTGGGGACTGAATTACCAGCATGGTTGGTCCTCGTTTTTCATCCCTATACGATTGAAGAGTTCTCTGTATCTGTCTGTAAACTTGCCTTTCTTCTGTTTCCACTCTAACTTCAAAAGTGATATCAGATGGAGGAATATTTGATTCATTGTGTCCACGAGAAATTCTTAAAACATAACATAGGTAAAGAAAAAAATTAATTAAAAAATCTTAAATCAATTATTTATCAAAAAATATTACTTGGTATTACGTTCTCTGCTGTACAATGTGTTTAAATTTGCCATGCGATTTGTACGAACCGTATCCGTGACCCAAACAAACGCTTTTTTATTAGGTGTTAAGAACAGTGCATACATGGCTCGTAAACCTGTTGGTGCTTTATTGCAGTACAAGAATATATCTTTTATAGAACTCTAAAAATAAATTTATCAATTGATTTATAGTATATACTTGTTGGATTCAACTGAAGAAAAAAATTATACAAACGTTAGTTAAATATTTATGAGACACTTGTTTCATTTGTTCCAAAGAAAAATGTCCAAGATCAGGCAATGCGGCCATTTTTTTTGCTGCTTCCAAAGTAACAGAACACATGCATCCAAGGTTAAGTAAAGCTCTTAATTCAGGTGTAACTTTGGTTTCATATATTCCTTCAACGCCAGGTTTGGATAGGTTGCACATAAAATGACTAAACAGATATTGAGTTTAAAATTATTTTAAGACCAAAACATGAAATTCGCTTACTCTTTGGTTTCGCCAAAATCTTTTTCCAAAACTGTGTACTGATACAAATTTAAAATTGGTCTGGCCCTGGGCAATATCATGTTCACTTTAGTACAAGAAATATGCTTTTCACTAACATCGATCTCAGTTTGCCTCTGATTTACATAAAAGAATCTAGGTACATTCATTCGAATATTGTGCAACTCTTCTCCAATCATGGCCCAAAGTTTTAAAACACCGGGTTCACCAGACTGACACACCTGTATAATTTGCCAGGGTTGACTGAGCAGCGTTTGCTGTGCCCGTCTTAAAAATCCTCCTAGTGTACCAGCACGTCCTTTAGGAACATGTATTTGATCGTCCCGCATACGTTTCCCATGTTTACCAACTATTTTAGCTCTCATTTCAAGTTGCCAATTCCATTTTTTTTTTTGATATACAATCCAATTCTAAAAATATTATATCAAACTATAAATAGTGACAATACTACACATAATCTATTGTCATAATTTGTCAACTTGTTAAACAAAGATAATATTTAAATAATACAATACTGTTTTCAGATATAATAATTATAGTTTATACTTGGAAAAAATAATCAATATTTGATTTTAAATTGTATACAAACCTGAATATCACTAGCTGGAGGTGGAGGTCCTAAAGCTTCCTTCCAGTTTCTAGCATCAATTGGTGAAGGGTCGCGTTTACGCTTTTTGGTTACCATTGGTCTTGGTCTAACTTCTACATGGTTATTATCTTCGTTTTCTCCAAAATCTTCAATATCTTGAAGTGCATGTTGTTCAGTCAAATTTTCTTGCACATGCACAGGCATTGCTTGAAACATGGTTGTAATTTTCCTTTGCTTTAATGGATCAGCTTTCATCAACATTTTTTTATGCAACCAATCAGGATGTTTGACTCTTGGGACTGGATTAGCAATCTAAAACAAATTTGAGAATAATTTTGATTATTTATAGATTTATTTTTACTTTTTAAAGTAACAACAGATTAATTACTCCTTGCAAAGTTGCTGGAATAGTAATGATTTTCTGAATGGTGCCACTTAAACGTTCTATATAGTAATCCCAATCAAGAACATCACGAATATCAATATCATCAATTGAATTGTCACTAAGCCATCTTCTCAAATAATGTCTCTTCACACTTAACTCAGATTGAAATATAGCTAAAGGTATAGCTCTTTGTGTAACTGGAGTACCTTCCGGTTTTTTGGATATTATAAAGCG